GATGCTTTAGCGCGTTTTGTCCGATGACCTCATTATATTGACGCGTGAATCGCACCACACCTACTGCTATGTAGGTGAACCTATTGACCCCGAAAAGGTGGTCCAAGATGAAGGCCAATGGCCTTGCCGCGACATATGAGGTAGAGCATGTTCGCAATTTTCATAGACTTTTTATATACTATCTACTACTGGACCCTGCACATACTGCTTATATCCGAATTGATGAATATATCGAAAGCAACTAAAAAAGCCCCGGACGTCATGGTCGTGGTAAATATGACACGCGCATGCGACTGCGGTCCCCCTCTTATCCTTCCAGAGTAGGACCTTGCAATCACTCCTATTTGAGAAATAACGCGGGAATCAGTGATAACCGTCAGGAATGACGAGTACCAGTATTACCACTTCTTACAGTCACTAGGAAGATCACTAAAAATTCAATAAATTTTTATACTAAGCCAAAAACTTACGTAAGACTCATCACTTGATCGTTCATTAAAGAGATAAGTGGTGATACTACCAGCGTCAGGAACGAAGACATTAGGCCCGGCAGTTGATAACATACACTTTTGCCGTATCCTAAAAAGTATGTCAACATTACCATTCAGAAGGAAACTTTCTGAGCAAAAAAACACAGCAAACAAGAGTAATAGAGTAAGAGTAACCAGTAGACATCAGCACGAGCTGATCCTTTCCTTCCAGAGCATTTCGCACAATGTCCCACTGCTTAGGGCGGAAATACGAATGACCGAAGTAATGCTGAAATGAAAAGTAGACCTTCAGGGACGTATCCGCTTATATTCGCTAACGCCAACTCTCCGCTACTTCCACTTTCTCTTCGTGGATCATCTTTATCATTGTCATTCGCCCTCTAACGGGGCTACTTCTTCTAACGATTACCTCATTACCTCTTTGGGTTGACCTAGAACTAATCCCACCGCTACCGCAAAAGTGAATGAATTTAACTTCGAAATCTAACGGTAAATTCCTAGAGGAAAATATGAAATCAATAAAATATAAAATTTACAAAAATAAAAATATAAAATGTCTTTGATGAAAATTGAGGCACTAATGTGTTATGGCAAATCACCTTCAATGTTTGCAGAGCCTTTTGAGAAGGTGTAGCACCCAAAAAAGTATTGTCGCGAGATGATTGAGATCGGTTCATTATGGGCATTGGCTTAGACATCTCGTCTAAATGTACATATTCTTGGAAATCGTATCGTAATGAAATCGTATGCAGAAAATTAAAAGGTAGAACGTCTCCACATTGGATAGGAGGTGGAGTTGGGGGCAGATTTTGTTCATCTTCGTCATATTCGTCGCTGTCTTGTGTGGGCTTCCGTTTACGAGTTGTTGCTAAACACTGGAGGACTTCATAAAGGACGAATATTCATCACGACATTGTAGTATTGAAAGCTTCCAAAACGCTCACTCATGTGAAAAGAAAAACAAACCAGGAGGCGGAGTTGGTGGTGGATCGCTGAACTCGTCATCATCATTTGGAGGAAGACTACGTCCAGGCAGAGCTAAAAATTTACTTTGAAGTAGATTTCAGAAAATCTATAACCTGTTCTTAGCAAACCCAAACAAGTCGTGTGAACTAGCGGCGAGCTCAAAAATTACTAATAGCTCAGATTTGTCAACATTTTGCATTATTTTGAAAAAATAGAACCCGGTTAGGCGTCCAAAACCAGTGCCCGTTTTATAAAGCGAACACTTTATTGAAGACAATGAAGAGCGAAAATAAGTACATAGCGTTGGCATTCAGAATCCTAATAAAATCGCACTCAATAAGGCGCCTTGAATGAAATTCAGCGAAAGGCAGCAATCAGAAATTACAATGATCTTCCCGAAACGTACACAAAAAAGCAGCAGAATCGAAAGAATGTGGTCGGAATTTTGAGTGTTCATAGGCCTTCCCCTTCACTACACACTTGTCTGACCTAAAAATCTCCTTACCCTTATACACAAGCTTCAAGGGCTTGCTGGCTCGCTGAGGTGAGTAACAACTTCAAGCTTTTATACTCAACGCACCATGAACGCCTTCAGCTGGAGGAGGCGTGGGTGGCAGAGAGTCATCGCAACTGTCTGAGCTGTTAAGAACATCTATCACACTGGGATTCTTGATAACGATCTCGTCATCGAAAGAATCATAGCCGCCTTCGGACATTTCCTTACAGCCCTGAAAAGAAGTTCGGAACACCCTTTATCTCTACCTGCTTTACTCACGAACGAGAACCTCCAGGTTATAGGAAAAAGAAATCGGTATTCGATCAAAGCAGTTTGAAAAAACGGTAGAAAGCTAAGCTGCGTCTGTCGAGACTGCCCCCATCCCTCTCCAATATAAGTTCTTGGTTTCTATAAGCTTGCACTAGTAGTAAAGCGACTCGGTGTTGCCACCCAATAGCCCGTGTTCGGAAGGCAAGTCTGTAGAAAAGTTGACCAGCTCATTATGAAGAACATTTCTTTCAAGCTTTGTCGAGGTCGCTTATAGGGTGTAGGGTCGCTTATCAGTGCTTATAGGGCACAAACGTGGTCCTGATTTCTGTATTACCGTTGAATCTCAATTCGTATTTGGAGGAAGTCCATATACGTACACACTACCTATGGAGCTCACTGTCTTCCAGTGAGTGCCCTTGATTACCGACGGACACCGTAACGGAAAAAAATGCTTTTTCCCAAACTTAACTTCTTTGAACAAAATCTCCTTAAAAAAGATAACTAAACTTAATTTCACTACCAAGTTTCAATGCCTTTAGTGACTGAGCACTTAGGATTCACTTCTCGCTGGTGGTAATCATTGAAGACATAGACAAATCTCCGGAAGTAATGATGGCAAAAAGCCTTTCATGGCAAAGAAACATTATAACACCCATATGAGAATCGTGAACAATAGAGGTAAACATATTTATTGTATTGAGCAGGTGAAACAATCGCGGTAGGAGGCACGCATTC